AAGTCAGATATTTGGTGCTCAATGATCGTCGTTTAACAATTAGGGACATTATTAAATATGTTCCAATATTATTTGAATCTTGTCAAGCAATTTTAAAAGATTATTTGAGCTTGCGGCACGTTGCTTTCGCACCACGATAATGTATCTGCTCACAATGCTTTTGTTGTCCGTGAATTTTTAGCCAAAAATTCAATAAATACGGTTCCGCAAGCTCCATATTCACCTGATATGACATTGTGTGACTTTTTCTTATTTTCTCGACTAAAATTTCCGCTTCATAGTCACCATTTTGAGTCGATTGATGCTATAAAAGAAAATTCGCTACGAGTCTTAAAAGAGTTTCATGAAAATGACTTTAAAGGATCTTTTGAGGATTGGAAAAACGTTGACATAAGTGCATTGTAGTGGGAGGGAACCTAGGAATGTCAAATTTGTAAATACATGAGAAATATTAGATTAAAGAAAATTCTGAAATTCTAAGACTCTCTAAGTTCTAAAACTCATTAAATATATATATTTTTTAAAAAGTATATAAATATTTTTTTTATATAGAAACGAAATTTTTTTTATATAGAAAGTATATAAATATTTTTTTTATATAGAAACGAAATTTAATATTTTGTTTTTGTCTGCTAAATTTGTCAAGATTTACATAAAGATACATAGATTTTGTTTAATTTGTAAGTTTTAACTAATTTCGATACTGTTCAAGCTAACTTCTTAATCCACTCACTGTGGAGAACAAAATCACTAAGTGGACCAAAAATGTGCAGAGTGTTCTCCAGACGCATTTTCATAAAATTTTGCTTATAACTTTTAATATCGCTATTTTATAATTTTTGACATCGCTGAACACGAATCTGAGGTCGAAATTAGAAAATTTAAAATGACGGATCCAATATGGCGACAAAAAAATATCAAAAATTTCAATAAATTGGCGAATTTCTGTAAAGCTCGGTAGGAAGTTTTCCGGGTTGCTAAAAACAAGTTTTTAGTCAAAATTATCAAGTTTTTAGTCAAATTTATCAAAACTAAAAATGGCGGATCCAATATAATGGATTAAAATATCAAAAACTCCAAGTAATTAGTAAATTCCTCTAATATTCGGTATTGCAGGGGCCATAAATAAATTTTTAAGAATATTCACCAGCTAAATACGAGAGTAAAAATATTATTATTTCGATTATTTCGCTATTTTAAATTGAATGAAACGATTTAAAAGTCATAATAAAATTGTCAAGTACACTGCAAATCCGAGTGTTATTTTTAAATATATAAATGTGTAATTGATTAACTCTATTTTTGCACGTTTCTTACCGTTTCAAATCGCGTCATCTAACAGGCTCAAACGTATAAAATTAATATAAAATTATATTTAAACATTATAAACGTGTTAAATGACGTGATTTAAAACCTCAAGAGACGTATGAAAAGAGTTTCAGCCGATTACATGTTTATGCGTTTAAGAATAACGCATTCGGATTTGCATTTATTACTTTGAAGGGGACGAAATAAATTTTGATGAATAAATTCAAATCTTGCGTTTTATTGAACCATTCTCGAAATTTTTTTATCACAGTAATATATTCAAATATTTACATCTCTTATGTGTATATTCAAACATGTGCTTCATGAAAGAGTTGTAAAATTACTTAAAGATGCAGGAAAATGTGTGTGCGTGCCTACATTCATTTATATTCTCATATATCCAAATATACTCGTACATATGCGCTGCGAATTTGGTTTGAGGAACAATTCGTGTGTGCGTATGTATGTGTGAGATTGAAATAATGAACCAGAAAAAAATGGATTTGTCCGCCTGTGAGATTTCGAGATCTCATTAGCCGCACCGATCTGAATTAATCGCAATCGAAAGCTTGCATCCACATTCTATGAAAAGTGTCATTATTTTTTTTATTACCGTTTTAGCTTCTGAGATATCTCAATTGAAAGATAGATTACGCAAAATCTCAAGAAAGAGCTGTCGTGGTGTCGCGACGTTTCATGTGAACACAGTCATTTCTGCGATCATATATGTGATCATAGTTGTTTCAGACGTTTTTTTTTTATATACTTGGCGTCACGTATTACTGCAGCTCAATTCATTAGCTCGTTCCTATGTTAGTTATATATTTAATCTGTTATATATATACAATTACGTTTTACGCGTAAGTTAGTATGATGCGGTAATATCATAGCATGGTCATTGGTGACGGACTTTCATGACAGCCAACGTGTTAACATATTCTATATCGAGTCAAATTTATATGAATTGTCCTCCACGCGATGTAAGTTATCTGTAATCCATGTTGTCAAGTTATTATATCTGTTGACATATCACAGTCTTATTTTCACTTTTCTAAAATTAAATGTCGAAAGATTTTCTCTATTATTAAAAGAAAAATAAAAGATAACATTTTCTTTGAGGTATCATGATTGTGACTATTTATTATATGAATGTGAAAGACATTTTTTCGTTATAGATTTAAGTAGAGATGATGTCAAAATTTTTAAACACATGAGAAATATTAGATTAAAGAAAATTCGGAAATTCTAAAACTCTCTAAGTTCTAAAACTCATTAGATATATATTTTCTTAAAAAAGTATATAAATATTTTTATATAAAAACAAAATTTAATATTTTGTTTTTGTCTGCTAAATTTGTCAATATTTACATAAAGATACATAGATTTTGTTTAATTTTTAAGTTTTAACTAATTTCGACATTGTTCAAGCTGACTTCTTAATCCATTCACTGTGGAGAATAAAATCACTAAGTGGGCCAAAAATGTGCAGGATGTTCTACCAGACGCATTTTCATAAAATTTTGCTTATAACTTTTAATATCGCTATTTTGTAATTTTTGACATCGCTAAACACGAATCTGAGGTCGAAATTAGAAAATTTAAAATGGATCCAATATGGCGACAAAAAAATATCAAAAATTTCAATAAATTAGCGAATTTCTGTAAAGATCGGTAAGTTTTCTGGGTTACTAAAAACAAATTTGTAGTCAAAATTAGAAAACTAAAAATGGCGGATCCAATATGGTGGATCAAAATATCAAAAACTCTAAGTAATTGGTCGATTTCTCTAATATCCGGTATTGCAGGGGCCGTAAATAAATGTTTAAGAATATTTACCAGCTAAATACAAGGGTAAAAATATTATTATCTCGATTATTTCGCTATTTTAAATTGAGTGAAACGATATAAAATAGTCATAATAAAATTGTCAAGTACACTGCAAATCCGAGTGTTATTTTTAAACACATAAATGTATAATTGACTGACTATTTTTACACGTTTCTTACCATTTCAAATCGCGTCATCTAACACACTCAAACGTATAAAATTAATATAAAATCCTAATTTATACATTATAAACGTGATAATTGATGTAATTTAAAACTGCAAGAAACGTATGAAAAGAGTTTCAGCCAATTACATGTTTATACGTTTAAGAATAATACATTCGGATTTGCAGTGTATTTATTACCTGCAATTAATGTCTGATATCCTTCGTAAGTTTTCGTAAGCGAGAAATAGATTGACATTTTGTAAGTAATTCAATATCCTTTCATTTATATGTGTTACTTATATTTTAGTCACTGAAATGTGCTATTAAGACACTTGCTACTTTTCCAGCGAAATTTACTATATTCTCCGTATAGACGTTAAATGGAATACTAAGGTCGAAAGTAAGATCGAAATTTTGACTTTAACAACTTTGGGCATTTTCTTATTATTTTGGTAGTTAAATACGGATATCTAAATTTTCAGCATATGGAATACATACTATTATCAATTTCAAAAAGGTCTTCAAAATGGATTTGCCATCAAAAAATTTTAAATTTTGACCTCAAATTTTTATTCAGCGATCCTTAAAATCCCCTAGTGCCAAGTTTTGTGCAGATCCGCTAATTTATTTAACTGTTATTGAATTTTTTGTCAGTACGTGTATATACGTATTCCACAATAAATGGGATTAAATGAATATAATTTAAATATTTATTAATAGTTTAAAGAATGAAAGTATAAGAATATATAATTTCAAGTCAAACTACATAGGCATTTAACTACAAATTATCTAGCTATGGATTAAAAAAGTAATAGCGCGTCAGCGATATCTAGTTATAATTCATCAAGAGACATAATATTACGTCAGTAATCACATAGATATAAGAATATATAATTTCAAATTAGCATCTAACTATAGACTGTTTTTCTATAGATTATAAAAAAGTAATAGTGCGATAACTAGTAGAAACCCATAGTTTATCAAGAGATGAAATATTACATGAGTAACAGCGAATGTATTAAATAGTACGCGTTTCATAATTTATACTTGTTGGATTTCATGATTGTGTTTTGCTTTAGAGCTAAATATTAGATGGTCTGAACGGAAAGTTCAGCGTGGATCACAGGTAACTCATACGGCATTGGACGTGTTAAAGCGACAGATATATGAACACGTTAAATCGAAAACACAAGCTCGTATTTATACATAAAAAAAATTATTGTATCACGAAGTAACATATACATGCTTTCTCACGACGAATTCGTTTTTAGTTCACTCGCGTCACTCGAACTAAGATTAGTAATCTGATATTATATTTAAGCTCGTCTTATGACACTGTTTAGCCTTGAGTATTGAGTTTCAAGACACTATTTAGCCAATAAAATGGCCCTGTAGCATCTTAAAATCGCATTTGAGACGATCTCAAATGTAAGCTCGGACTATAAATGCCGGCATAAATATTAATTCATTCAAAGTACTTGGCTACTGAATTGCATGACAAAAAGATCGAAAATAGGAAGAATATCAATGTTCTGCAAAAATATGAAGGGAATATGAGAAGGTACCGCATCCAAGATAAAGTAGTCTTTCATTGACGAGTTTATTTTGTATGTGCCAACTAAATCAAATACGACTTTACGCGGATGCGGTAAACGAGACGATCGGATAACTCCTTTTAACTGATATTTTCGAATCGCAGATGGTCCACGCGAGTTGGTGGTATTACTTCTCGAAATTTACCGAATTCATGGACACGGTACGTAAATATCCTACTTAAAAGAATTACATAAGTAAAATTTATACAACTGAATTCTGTTTTTGATAAAAAAAAATGACAAAATTATATAGAAAGCCATGTGTATTCAGATAAATGTTTAATTGTTTAGAATATTTTATCGTTAAAAATAACTTATACTGTACAAAACGAAAGAAATTGATAACTTTTTTTTTTATATGAACTAAAATGTAAGAAATTGTAATTCTCGAAAAAATGATAAATTCAAACAAAGTTATATAATATTTCAATGAAATTTGTACAGGGGACCTGGGGCATAACGGGGTGCGGAGCATAATGGAGTATCATTAATAACTTTCCTAAGAGATGCTACCATGTAATAAAACGTTTTGCAATTAATACTATCAGATGTCTCTTACTGCGCGCTATTACCATTATCATCATATTTTCAAGCTGATACTGTTTTATGCGTTTGCTGTATTATCTGTAACTTGCGTTCAATTTTTTTGATAAATTTGCATAAGGTATACAGAGATAAAATTCTACTTTTTATTATCGTATGTTACACTAACGTTATTAAATAATTATTTCTAGTCATTTTAATTGTCTATATCGTTAAATATCGACTACCTATGATACATTATGAGGCATTACGAAACTGAGATTATGTTTTTAAAATGTTAAGTTGCATTGTTTCTTTTTATATAACATGTTTCGTGAAAATAAATATCAAAGATTATTCCAAATTATTAATATTTTTACAAGAAAAGAGTATAGTTTTTTGTTTTATAAAAAGAATGTTATGAATAAATAATTATAATTATTTAAACATGCAATAATCCAGGTAGAGCAGATCACGATAATGTCAAAATGATGAAAAAATGCCTGCAAAAGCTCACTTCTCGATTATGATTCAGTCATTTTTTTGTCACTTTGACGTCATTATGATATTTTATTTTACCTAGGAGTATATATCTTTATATATTACATGTCTTAATAAATCACTTTTGAAAACTTTAGAAAATTAATAATTGGAAAATGAATAAGTTTCGTGAGATATTCCATTTTGTCTCGCGTAGAAAGTATAATAAGATTAAATGATGTTTTCAAGAAAATATATCACATAATCTCGTTTTTTTCTAACTATTCTTTTATACTAAAGTTTTTCTTATAACGGACATTTCAAAAAACGTCTTGATATAATATAAAGTTTTTTGATTGATTTATTTTTAATATATTTAAAACTTACTTTTCTTTAAATCTCTCTCTCTTACGGTTTCCATTATGCCCCAGATTGCCCCTAATTCTATTAATCCTTATCCGATTTTTGAAGCAGGCCACTCTTATGTTGGTTTGTTCCAATGCTGATCCGCTCGATTTTTACAGATCTTCTTCGTGCTACGAAAGAAGAACAATCACGTGTCCACGCTGCATGTGATTCATCACGGTTGCATGCCTATGTCGGTCTGGTTCGGTGTCAAGTTCACACCCGGTAGGTAGAAAATCGCTTATGCAATTCGTTACGTGTCGATTTGTTGCAACAGTCCGGTGGATTTCGCAAAAGTAACTTTTATCAATGCCGTACGCGAAATCGTCTCCACACCCAGGAACAAACCTCTTTCTAGCGTGCACACGCATTTTAAAAATATACAACACTTTTATAGTCATTTTCATTTTCAATTTGATGCCAGTTTCGAACTTAGCGATGAACGATTGAATTACAAAGTGTACCTTTTTTCAGGCGGTCACTCAACCTTCTTCGGGCTGCTTAACACCTTCGTTCACATCATCATGTACACATACTACCTTCTGGCGGCATTAGGTCCATGGGTGCAACCCTACCTCTGGTGGAAAAAGTACCTGACCGCCTTCCAGATGCTGCAATTCATCGCCATTATGGTCCACGCCTTCCAGCTTCTTTTTATCGAGTGCAACTATCCGAAGGCGTTCGTCTGGTGGATCGGCCTGCACGCCGTCATGTTCCTCTTCTTGTTCAAGGAGTTCTACCAACAGAGCTACCAGCAGAAGAGGCCTAGGAAGAAGGGCGCGGCGATGAACGGCGTCGACAAGAGTCACCGATCAGCCGACGGCCACGCGAATGGCACCATTAACGGCACCGTTAACGGTGTCGCGAACGGCGTCGCGAACGGCGTCGCGGCGAACGGCGCCGCGGCGAACGGCGTCGTCGCGAACGGTTCCAGGAGGAGGGATGCTGCCGACTATTACGTGAAAGGCGAAAGCTTAGCGGCGACGGAGCTCAACCTCCGAAAACCGTACGCGACGACCGAGTAACCCGGTAGCGCCTAGCCTAGTCGATCCATTCGCCACGATGTCGTGTCCATTTTTTTTCTGCGAGGTCGCCGACGGATCAGCGGGCCTTCTTTTCCAACTACCCTCCCTTTCTCTCCCTTTCTCTCCCTTTCTCTCCCTTTCTCTCCCTTTCTCTCCACCTCTCTATCTCTGCCTCTCTTTTTCCAACTGTCCTTTCCCATTTCCCTTCCTTGTACCTATTGTATTGTCACGTAAAATCGAAGGCCCCATCGAGATCGACGCATCCATCGAGAGAAAAGTACAAAATTACGTCGCACGCTTTTGGCACGCGGTACATATGCTCGACGTTTCACGCGCGCGCGACGGTTGCCTTCTGGTGAGTTCTAGCCAGCTCTAGCCAGACCCAGGCAGCCGTGCGAAACCGTAATCGGGCGACGACGCAGAAGGATGCACGAGCGGATTGTGTCCTGGTGCTCCTGCGACAGCGACCTGCGGCGTTTCGATCATAAGACAAATGTGAGAGACGAGTTCGTCGCGGGGATCGCGCAAATCAAGTTACAAGATGCGAACAACACCGCCAGATGACGGTTCGCAAACACCGATCTCCCGTGGCAACAAGATAGTGTCGAAAGGAGGGAGTCGTATGTGAGATGAGTTTCGGAATAAAAATATATTCAATTAACATTTAAGGACGTATTTTGGTAAGGCGTGAATATGATTTCTGTAAGTCAAATTCAAAACAACTTGCGTGCCTCGCAACGCGAACGAATCACATGCCTTTACGATTCTCTCCTATCGGTCGATTTTTATTTCTGTTTTAATTTTTTCTTTGGTTTGACTTGATTTGGCTCGACGAAATTGGTTTTATCGAGTGTCATCGAACTCAGTATCGATCGTAAATCGCAAAGAAAAGAAAGAGAGTGGGCGAATTAAGAGAATTGTAAATCAAACATTTTCCTAGGAATTCCAAATAAAATCGCGTTCAACGAGCAATGAATCATCGCGACGACGTTTCTGGTCTGCTTTCGTTATATTGGAAATTCTTGACTGGCCGTTTCTGATTCTTCCCTTTCTCTTTCTCTCGCTTCCTATTTCTCTCTTTACCTTTGAGTATGGTTTGCGCGACGCGGAAAGAAAGAGAGGGGAGGGAGAGAGAGAGAGAGAGGCGGTCCTTCTACGTGGATTAAAAATAAACAGTCAAGATTTTACGGGCATGCATTTGATAGAAAATGGCGAAACGCTTCTAAAGACGTCGGTATCTACCCCGTGTGCGATTCCGAGATTATATAATGGGAGAAATTACATAGACGCGCGATAACGGTAAATCACAATACGACATGCCGTCGTTACGCAATCTACCGAGAAATTTTCGTTGCGTGGACTCGTCGAAAAATCTCGTCTCATCGAAAAATGGGATGACCTTAACCGATCGATTTGCGAATGGATAGAGTTCGTTGAGAAATTTGTCGGTTATATAAGTACTACTTCGCGTTAGAACGGTGCGCTCCAAAAGTCACACGGGAGAAAAGTCCGTGGTAAAGTACTGGTACCGATGTGCTGTGTACGTAATCGTTACAACGGAATTCAATTAATCATGTCGTTAGCGTTTTGATTCGTCTAAAAGTTCCAATTTCGCGAACGTATTTGAAAGTATTTAAAATTAATGTAAAACAACGAAGTTAGAGTAAAATAATTATTTGTAAATTATACAACTTCAAATTGTATTTGCTCAGGAAGTCAAACTTCTTAAATCTTTGCGAGTCCGACATATTTGTGGCAATTGAGGAGATCCCTGTTTAAAATGATGGACACAAAACTCAACAACATTATATAAGGTTTAGTCTGAATTTCAATCTAAATCAATGTGAGTAAATAAGTCATTGATTGATTTACATTAAAATTCAGACAGAACGTAATATAATCTTATCGTATTTTATTCTTTTTATATTTATCATTCTAAGCAGCGGTCCGGATTTTGGACTTTGACACGACGTACAGGGAAAAAGGCACTTTTTTGGACAAGAATCAACCGACAGATTAATATTTAATCAATTACAATGATTCTTCTTTTAGCCATTATAAGTTTTCCTAAACGTAGTACTGCAAACTTTTTAAAATAAAGCTAAAATTTAAAATTACGGATATGACAATATACTTCTCGAAAATATCGAAATTCTACGACATTGAATATATTTGCACAAAAATGAATATATACAGGTTTTTGGGGTCGCTGAATATGAATCTAAGGTCAAATTTTCAAATATAAAATGAGATTCGATGTGACAGTCAAAAATATAATAAAAACAATTACTGTATTAAATTTCGATTTTTTTATCTTACTGCCATATTGAATTTGTCATTGAATTTTGTAAATTTGACCCCAAATTCATATTTAACGATCTCAATAACTTATATTTATTTTTTTAGTGCAAATATATTCAATATTGTAGAATTTCAATATTTTTTACAATTATTTTCAACCAGCACAATTTCTTGAAAAACATACAAAAGACGTTTGAAAAAAAATGGAACGTCTTTAAGTCATATTTTAGAAGTTGGAGTTAGATATTGCCACATCCGCCATTTTGAATTTAGTTTCATCTTAAAAAGTTTACAGTACTAGGAAAATCGTTCCTACAACACAACGTGTAAAATCAGGAAATAAAATGTTTCTCAGATGTCAGAATATAAAATGTCTTATGTCTCGATTTTGGACGTTGTGTTGTGTGAATATTAGGACTAAACGAAAAAAAACGAGATCATTGAGGTCGGTTAAATATTAGATCGTCGGCTGACTTTTGTTCGAAAAGAGTGCCTTTTTCTCCCACGTTGATCCATTATTGCGCTCAATATCTTCCACAGCTTGGCTCCCGTTTTGACCCTCCTCTCCTATCTTATTTATTTCACTTGATCCGTTCGTTTGGCTCGAAATCGTTTGAGTGTCGGACGCGGTTGCAGGAGCAGGATGGACACGATTGCGCGCATCGGGGCGACAGGTGTGCCTTTGCTCAATACTTAAAGCTCAAAAGCATCGGTTTGACATACCAGTAACCGACTTCTGTGATCGTACGTCGACTCGTGAGGGGCTCAATCTTCTTCCTTCGCGCGCCCAGCTGACATCCTTATCGCGAGTACCCGATGCTCGTCGCGATCATTCGCCGCCTCGGTTGTACTATTTAACGCGTGTGAGCGCGAAGCGTGCGAGGTTTCACGTTTGCGTTATCGGTGTGAGCATTAACCTGTCGAATATGCGGAGAATCTCCTCGAGGTTACCGGCGAACGGATTAGTTCCTCGAACTGATCGGAATATCTAATGCCTTTCTATACCTGGATCTAAACGACGATGTCATTCGAGCTCAAGTTCAAGCAACATAAGTTGACACAAGTTGACAGAGAGCAAGCGATACAAGTTGACAGAATTGTAAAATAGTAGATAAATTAAGGATATTCGGTTCTCGTGGAGTTCACGACATCTTTTTCGCGAATGTCAAACAGTCGTGACTTCATATAAGGAATCCAGAATGTACGAAACATACTGGAATTACTCTGGATGTGTCCAAGACGTCTTCGGTCACTCTCCAGGACATCCTGGATGCATTCGAGACTATTCAGAGGACGTTTCGTGCGGTAGTTCTTATTGATTCGCCCGTTCTTTTTATACAATTATTATCGAGTTGTTGTTATCGAAAGTTATGCGAGTGTCAACGTTTAACTCGTAATCGTCCCGTCGACTTTTTCGAATTGTTCCCTGTGTTAAAGTCGAATTGAAATCGCGACAGTCGGAACAACGTGTCTCGCTCGCTTCGCGCATCTCGTATATAATACATAGTATCTTGTACATATGTAGGTTAGTTTTGTACACCATATGCTAAAGAGGAGTTCGAGGTGCGACGGTCGCTACGCCACACACTTCGCGCTATCGAGACAATAACGAAAAAAAATATAAAAAAAAACAAAAAGGGAAAAACACACATTTATAGATAGGTCTGAGTTCAGGGGTCAGAGTTAATTTATATGAATTAATAGGTGTATGAAAACTACGAATATAAAATCGCACTGCGAGGGTGAGCGGTTTTTCTATAGTTGCGGCTACGTACATAAGGAAAGTAAAATATCAAGAGAGAGAGAGAGAGAAAAAAAAAGAGAGCGCTTTGCATTTTCGACGCTGGGATCTCGTTTACTGCCCTTCACTTTTGGACGCTCTCGTATCTCCGTAATTCGAATAACGTTAGATCATGGTGCATCGATTTATCGATAAATTCATTTGTGAATTGGGCCTCGTTTCGCTCTTATTCTTCTTTTATAGACAGACATAAATATATTTTCGAATGTATTCCGTGCCATTTCATCGATTGAAAGAGAACAATCATCGAATTGATGAGTCCGTTCCGAGCCTCGTTCGGCAATGAGATTCTCAACCACCAATCTATCGTAATTAGCAATAGTCGACACGTGTGTCATACATGAGCGTTTGTACCTAAATCTATAGACGTAGAGAGAATCTAGGCAGCATAAATGTCTGAAATACATTTTGGAGATAAAGCGAATATGTGTAGATATTTATAATCGGATTTCACACATATATTTAAGATCGTCGTGAATTAATCTTCAGACGCTGCATAAATCATTTTTTAAGCAGCACATATGTGTAAAATATGTCCTAGAAATATTCTACGTCTAAAACAGGAAGAGTATCTTTCAAATGTCTTTAAAACGTCTCTTACAGCATTTATGCTGTATGGGTTCATTGACTACGGAGCGTCTGAAAATAAACCTAAGACGATGTTAAATATAAGATCAGACTATGAATTCCCGCCTAAAAGATATTTGAAACAAGTGGTTTAAAGCCGAATGCCCAGATTCGGTGTTATCTTCCAAGCGAGTTGTTAAAATTTCGTCCAATCAGATAAATCTGATCAGATAAATCTGACATATAATTACACTATATTCGACAATTGGAATCTTAGCAACACGCTTGGGAAATAACATCGAATCTGTTTGCAAAAAAAATAAGCTTGCAACGAAACACGCCGAGAATCAAATTTCTCGTCACAGAACAAACTTAGCGGCATAGCTCCTCGCAAGAAAAACAATTTTAAATCACGCTCCGTGGGCATTGGGCTTTAATCTTGAAGATTTTTTTTAGAGACTTATGTTGGCTGGGAGCCGTCTGATGATGAAATATTATTAAATCGAGATCGACCGTGATCGGCATTAATACTGCAACGACGAAAGGGAACCAAATGTACGCGCGTATGATACGGATGAAGTACACGGACAATTCGACGAGCCTTCTGCCTGCTCGGCGAGGTACTTGAAGTTATTTTGTTGCAAGCGACTCGCCGAAGTGGGCGCCGAAGGCGGATGATGGACACGCGCGCCGCCAGTCACGCATGGGAGGAGCGGTCTTTGAGAATTCCAAGTGCTCTTACGTCGATAGAATTTTTATTGTTGTATTGTAACCGAAATTCATTAATCTACGCAATTGGTTAACGTGTATTACGTGATGTATTTTTGCGAGAAAATATAAGTCTATTTACTATCCTCGACAACGCTATTACTCCTTGTGTCCTCTTCGTTTACGCATTGAATCGTAATTTGCGAGCCTGTTGCTCTCGACACACGTAGAATTCAATTTTGTAGGCAGAATTTGGATATCATCGACTTAACGCATCTTTGGGTTCTCTGAAAATTTTATGAAAATCTTCGTCTGATATACAGGATGTGTCCAATAATTCATTATGCAGCTACGATGTGTAGATAGAACTCATCAAACTGAACTATAAAATTCCTCTATCATTTCGCGAGCAACAACGTAAAATTTTATATTAATTAAAGAAGATTGATTAAATAATTACGCGATTGAATCAATACGGTGAATAAGCTGTGATGGCGTCTACCGTCGTCCCTAGCAGCACATATTATTTGGCCAATGGTTGGCCGCTGTAGATTTTACATTGGTCGCTATAGATTCAACATTGATCTAATGCTTTATGGGGTGTAGTTATACAAAGTATAACCACAAAATATCCCAGATCACCTTCACAATCTCTCGAGAGAGCGGATTGAGATGAACACAAAAGCTTCATACCGTTTTGCGATATTCTCAATAGTTTTCGAAAAATTAATTTTGGAAAATTGCATGAAAAAGGAGGAACACTCGAGCTGCTGAAGTCGCTCGAGGCGCATTTCAGTTGGTCAAGAAACAGTAGGCGGTGCGCGGCGAAGGGAAGAATAACGCACCACTGCTTGTGCTTATATCGCTGCGATATTTTGCCGCACCGCACCGAGGCGTAGGAGCGCAGCGATATAAGCACAAGCATTGGCGCGATGTTCTTTTACTCACCACGCGCCGGCACCCGCATATTATATTAAAGCCCGTCTACATAGGCCGCAACACGCAAAACGCAGTTCGCAATCGCGCACACATCCAACTTCAACTTTCTACGTTTTCTCTGTGTTTGCAGAGAAAACGCAGAAAGTTGAAGTTGGATGTGTGCACGATTGCGAACTGTGTTTTGCGTGTTGCGGCCTATGTAGACGGGCCTTTACTGGATTCGCGCTGCGGCTCGAGCGCTTCTCCTCCGACCATTCAGCGTGCGTTTTTCCTTAATTTCTCGATTATTATTGCGAATATCGCTAATAGGACTTTTGTGTTCATCTCAACCCGCTCTATGTCTTCACGAGAGATTGTGAAAGTGGTCTAAGACACCCTGTATATTAGGTTGAAAAAAACAAGAAAGTCCTATATTATTTTACAAATACTTAGATTTTTCTACTAATAACTACTTAGATTTTGCTATTAATTAAAAATATTGATACATTATCGCAGATGATCATGAGTTTTTCAGTTGAATCACGATTGCAGATACAAATGTCACATATATTATAATTTAATTTAACCCTTATAATGCCGAACAACGATATATCGTTGTTAGCAACACGTGAAAAATGCCAACGACGATATATCGTTGCGCGTACGATGCTGCCGGACTATCCGCGTCGCGGATTATTTACTTACTTTTATTTTTATACTTTTTTTCTCAAACCCTATCAAACTTTTTTTCTCAAACCCTATCGAACATCCATTTGGTCCGGTATTTTACGCTTAGGTATATTTTTTTCGGTCGACACTAAAAAGATTAATTATGAAAAACTTGGATTCAACTTCAAATAAAAATCTAAATATCTCACATGAAATCAGATTCAGGTGACAATTATTAATTCGAATCCCAAGTCTGTTATTACATGAAACTCGTCTCAAATGAGGTAATTACGTTTGAAAATGTATGAAGTGAAACAAGAATCTCATCGTAACTTGAAAACTTTTATGTAATTTGAGGTAATACTTACTTTTAGGTAATACTCAAAGCTTGTCTATGAAACAGTTCACTTCTCAAGTAAGAAATCTTATCTTGAAATCTTATATACAGAACGTTATCTTTTCCCTGTCCACGAAGTATATAGTGTTTTTCCTTATGGAAGATTAAATCAGAAAGTCCTGAACTATTTTTTTCTGCTATGCTTAATGAAGTAGTCATTTATAAATAAATTTCAACTAATCAGCGCTGTCTTGATATTATGCGTGAGCGCTACGCTTCCGCTGTTTCGCCGCGCTTTCACGCTGCTAAACAATTTACGTGACTCATAGACATGCGCCCGTTTAAAGGACGGCGCTGATCAGCTAAAATTTATTTAAAAATAACTGCTTCATTAATTTTCCCTAAGGAATGACGCCATGTACTTAGTGGGTGGGGGGAAAATAACACTCTGTATATATCATTTGGTACTCTCTCAGTAATAGATCTAAGGCTCGTATTAGTGACCGTTTTTTGAAACTTGTTCCACGTGAGATACTCAGATCTAAATTTAGAGTTAGATTTGAATTTTTATTTAAATCATGTAATATATGCGACATTATATCAAATTGCGATTCAGCAGAAGAACTCACATCCAAAGCATCTGAGATAAATTACAAATAATGACTATTAATATAGGTTTAAGGACCGTATTATAATAGTTCACTTGAAATTTGTTTTATGTGAGATACTGAGATTATTTCAAGTTAGATCCAAACTTTTAATTGAAATATATATATGTGACATTATATCTATAATCACGATTCAACGAAAAACTATTCTTATGTCTCTGAACATAAATCTGAATATCTCATTTAAAAGAAGTTTCAAGTAACGATTATTAAAAAATACAGCTCTCAGATTTAACTCTAAATTCAAATTTAACTCTAAATTCAAATTTAGATATTTTACATGAGATAAGCTTCAATTAACATCTATTAATATTAAAAAAAAATTTTATACAGGAAATATATAGTAGGGAGATTAATATAAAAATACATCTGTGTATATGTGTGCATGTGTATACATATATATTTGTGTAAAAACTGTTCAGACGTAAAAGTATTATATAGACGAATGTGGTGAAACGATTTGAAAAAATCACTTTGTTTTTTGTATCATATACAATAATAAACTGTAACGCTGCGACCAGTCTTTGAAAGATATGTCGTCCACGGTTGTTTCGACGAGTTGCATCGCTTTTTGCACGTCCTGGCACAACCTAAGTGTCATGTAATTATATTTCAATTCATGTAAGCTCAAAATTATCACGATAGATATATGCAACTTACCAAGAGCTCAAAGTTGCGTTAAAATTCTCGATCTCCTCCCGCACTTGATTGCAAATCACTCTGGAGAGATTCAACAACTCCAGGCTAATGTTATTGTACTTTTCTGGCGACTGTATCGATTTAATTGCGTACTCGTCTTCCGTTGGCGTCGAGCACTGCATCTTAGTGTAAATTATATTAGCAACTGTATTCTTGTAGCAATCTATGAGAGTGTATATCGGCGTATGTATCATCGGAAAATAAGCCTTGATCCTTGAACACTGCGGATTGATCGCCGTTACGGAAGCTCTATCGAAACCGCAGATTGCATGTCTGTGAGGAAAATTCATTTGTAATTACAAAAATGAATCAATTGCAATTGAACGTACAAAATTTTTACCGACCTGTATTGGCCCACCTCTCCTTTTAACATGATTTTCCGCAAGGCGTTGAGATCTAAATTATGAAACATGTTCAGCTCGATGTTCAGCGTATTACTGTCCAACCACCACGGATCGTAATCCTCGGTTCGCAAAGCCGCTACACTTTGCAGTTCATGATGTAATTTCTCTTTTGCCTTGAATATAACCGACGCAGTGGAGTTTAAGATGGCTATGGATTGTTGAATGTTCTTCACATATTCGTCCTATCGAAGAAAACTCGAGCTTGGTATCGCGAACATACAAAACGCGAGGCATAGATAACGATAACGAAAACGTACTATCTGTGTATCGATTGTCTCTATATTAGTCGTCAATCGAGCTATTTCAAAATTAAGCAACGGACGGTTTTGGTTATTGCTGTTCAGATTTTGCGCATTGTTTTGCAGACACGCCTGCTCGATTTCTAACTTTTTTATCTCCAACATTAAAATCAACCATCTACCTACGTCTTCGTTGGATAACGACTGTAAGATAAAGTTTCGTAAAAATACATACTAATCTAATTCTAATTGTATCTTTTACACTTTTTGCTGCTGGATACCGACATAATATAGTTTCGTAGTTTGCACTATTTCTTTATTTAATTGCATAGAATTGCAAATTTGTTTACAGAATGAAAGTATAAATATCAATGTATAGAAAGACACCAAATGTTGTACTTGAATAAAAAAGGAATTTCATTTACAAAATTTTTGTTTTGTTTTTGACATAATATTTGGGATTTTTTTATACGCATTTACATTTCACTTGGTAACAACACTTGCAATTCTATGTAATCAAATAGAAAAACAGCACAAACTACAAAATTGCATTATATTACTATCCAGTATTTTCTTAAGGAGTTTATTCATTTTATGTATTTTTTCAGGACGCCCAAGGGATGTATTCTCAGTGGCGCATTGAGGAAACTACTAATAAATTTCTCAGACAAAGTTAATATGTTTATTTGACTATTTAAATCATAATTTAAAATTAATTTCATGATATTATCACTTAGTACATTGTTACTCAAAACATAAAACAACAGTTTTTTTATCTACATAAAAAATAAATTTATATAAAAATAGTGTAATAAATGCTATTCTTGCTTCTATACTGCGTTTTTTAATATTATTTACAATAGCAAATTTCTTGTTAAGATTGTATCACTTTTTATGAAGTTACTTTATAATAATAATCAACTATATTGTTTATATTATAAAATTATATATGCAAAACTGCAACATTTAATATTAAATTTTTCATAAACAATATAGAAAAATTGCATGAAACTTTAATTACGAATGTTTTACGGCGATACAAATTACGTTAAATTTTTGTATTATTTTAAGCATTTTGGTTTAAGTGAATAAACTCCTTAAGTAATTTTTTTGTAGTTTTCCGTCTTTAAAGAAATTCCATGCTACCTCTATCAATTCTATGAATTCCACTACGGATTGCTGGTATTTGTCAGCCTTAGCAATAGATAATACACGTCTGAAGACCATGCACATTTGCTGACCACATACTCTTGCGATACCGATATCTATATTTTCGCCTACTGCTGGAAAATTATTGATGTCATCTTTAGTTTCCAACTTCATTAACATGTCCAGGTCCTGCGACAGCGCTTGACACAAATGATTCCATAATGTATGTGTGTCGATGGTACCAAGAGAACTTGACACCTTTTCCCAGATCTATAAATATAAAAGAAAAGGATTGGTTATTTTTTAATACAAAAAGCTTTTACTTTAAAATAAAATACTTACTTGCTTTTTATCTGTCATTGAGCGCAAACTTGCTATTACGTTCAGGTTCTTTCTTAATTTATTCTCATCTATATCCTTGGATGTGTTTGGCATTAAACATTGACACACTTGTCTCATTTTATTGCAGTCCTTCAATTGTTGGCTAGTTTCATTATATTTCAACTGTAAGAGATCTTTTCTAGTACTGATTATAGAACATTTAGTTCTTATGTCCTTTAATCGCTGCACTACAAATTTAATAAAATATTACTGGACCTAATAAAATATAAATATAATACAATATAAATACAATATAATAATAAGAAATACAATATAATATAATAATAAGAACTTTTAAGAGCTAGATACAGGTATTACAGTGCTATAAAAAAGAGAAATCAAATATACAATAGAATCAAAATTCTAAAATTCTTGTAAAAATATATTATATAGAGAGATTATATTTAAAAAAAATTAGAATTTAGATTTCATTCTACCTTTAGTTTTTCTTTTTCTTATAATATTACATGTGCCTGGCTCTTAAAAAAAACCTTATTATCCTATTTATAAATTTATAAATTTGATTTATTTCAACAAAACATGATAACAAAAGATATTTGAGATCAATGTAACAGACTATCTTACTTTTCTGTCTGACATTATGATCTAGATCTTCATAATTTTCTTTCACCACTAATATTTGATGTTGTAATGTATCATTGTTAGACCTCAATTGCATTAAATCCCTTACAGATGCAATTGTGGCATCATCCAATTTATGTCTTAGTTTATGTAACAAAATGTTCTTTCTTATCTTTTGTATCTCAACCATTGGAAGTATAGATGTAGAAATATCTTCCCACAGAAGTTCTAGTACTCCTTTGCACAATCTGTTGGAAATAAAAGAATGAGTATGATAATAACAGCAAGGTAGCTCATATAAACAAATAACAATATTGAATAAACCTTTTTCTCACTAAATTGTTGCATATTGCTGGTGGGCAATGGAGCTGATGTATCCATCCAAAATTATCCGTAACCTCATTCATATTAAACTTTTTTTCCAACACCAGAAAGTTATGGAACAATAAAACAATAAAATAAAATTATAAAAATCATTTTAACTTATCTATAACAAAAATTATAATTTTATAAAAATTTTATATATATAATAATATAAATATATAGTTGTTTATTATTGTATTTAACAACAACATGTAACAGATAGGAGGTAATTATTTATTCATGATATTTTATATAAACTCTGTTTAATGCTGTACATATATCATATATATATTTTAATGTTTCAATAATTGATGTATTTAAAATTAAATGTATACACACTAGTTGTAAGAAACTTGATTCAATTTCAACTGACAATTGCGGGAAACACCATTGATAAAGTATTATTGTAGATTAGCAATTCTCTTCGGGAGCGTCCCGATTGACCACGGTACGATTGGACACAACCAACTGATGTAAAGAATTATCTAGTGAATTACTAGGTCGAACCAATCATTACAATCTGTGTTCAACAGGATTGGGTATGCATAATATCTCACGTTGGTTACACGACACTTTCTCGAAACTAGGACTGCGTTCGGAAATGTCACTCGAGTACTCTTCTTCTCTTTTTATCTCACTCTTGTATCTCGCTCACTCCAACGTAACGGGTACTCTTGAGTGATGTTTCCGAACGCAGCCTCAATGGGAAAATGATGGTACCAATAAAAACCCCTAGGCAACAATTTTAATTTCTGCGGATTAGTGATACTGTTGAAGTAAATCGATGAATTTTGCGGAGTCGTTTGACATATGCGTGTATGTGTCGAATAACAAATTGTCACTAATCCGTAGAAATTAAAATTGTGTTACTTAGGGATTTTTACTAACTTAGGGGTTGGTACCAACATTTTTCCATCTAGTTTTCGGGAAAATGTGTAACCTACCTGAGGTGCGTTCGAAAACTCCGGGTGCTTCTCCTCTCTCTCTTTATCTCACTCCTATCTTCTCACTCCAACGCAGCGAGTGTACTCGAATAAAGTTTTCGAACGCACGCCTGGGTAACGGCTCTAACGGAAACTGTAGGCTTAACAAAGGCTAGGTAAACAGACTGTCGTAACGGCCACCTCGGGCCGTTGACTAAACGGCGCGTCGGAGGGGGGGAAGGCGTGCGGCCGGTCAGGTAAACACGCATGCGCGAGCACGTGCTCGGGAGTCACGCCACAACGTTATCAGCCGCCGAGGCGGGCGCGTCGCGGAGCTGCTGCGTTATTTTCTAAACTATTTCGCGCCGATTTTTAATACCGCATTTTAACTTCAGCACAATTAAGCCGATAATTAACATGAGTTGAGATGCGTACTTATCACGCGAGCAGGTGTTGCGGGCTTTACTGCAGCAGATAATTACCGCGTTTCATTTACTTTTTTACTTGTTAGATAGAGAAACGTCACGATCGAGTTCCTTAATACCAATCAAATATTACCATCATTTATTTTCGAGTATTATTATTTCTTTATTCGGTTGTCATTTAACAATTTTTATTACGTATTGGGTAGCAACTCGAGCGCGCCATTACGACGATTTTCTTACCTCGTATTGCTGTCGTATGTAATCAGAGTTGTAAAAATATCAATTAAATTCGCCTCAATTTAATATTTGATTTGAGCAAATACTTTCTAATTTAATTAATTGACGATTAATATAAGCTTATTCAATTAAAAATCATTTAATTAACGATTGATTTAAAGAAGTTCAATTAAAAACTGTTGAATTAATGATTAAAACAAGCGAAAGTAATTAAAGATTATTCGATTAACGATTGAACATAGTCAATGTAATTAGGAGTTATTTAATTGACAATTGATACAAGTAATATATATATTTATATATATATATATATATATATATATATATATATATATATATATATATTCGGCTTGGTTGGTTACCATGAGCAATGTAAATAACCACGATTACAATTTCGATTGACACACACACACACACACACACACACACACACACACACACACATCGATTGGTCAATCATCTTACTGCGCTTTTCGATTAAATTTACTTATATCAATTGTCAATTAAATAACCCTTAATTAATTAATTCCGCAAAAATATTGCGGAATTGTCTTCGCAAAAATATCGCGGGTTTTCGCGAATATTTCAGGTTCATTGAAGAGACAGACGTCTCACGCGATAACGATACAATTTTTTCGCGTAAATTTTGAATAGGTCTTTTTTTTTCTATTGTCGCTATTTTCACAGTTTTCGATTTTTCATTCGCGTTCGCGATTATTAATTTGAAAGATTTGCAAATGTTGCCGAATAGCGGAAACGTCGCGAGCGAACTTCGCAGAAATATTGCAGGGAAAGGTTTTCGCGAATTTCAAGTTCGTTGAGGAGACAGACGTCTCACGCGATAACGATAACATTTTCTTGTGTAAATTCGGAATAAATCATTTTCTCTATCGTCGCTATTTTCACAGTTTTCGATTTTTCATTCGCGAAAGTATCACGAGCAAACTTTAGAGAAATTTTACGGAATTATTATCCGCAAAAGTATTGCGGAATTGTCTTCGCAAAATTATTGCGGAGCTGTATTGTAGCCTCTACGCTGCACCACCGGAACGTCATATTAGGGATATTTCGTGTCGTACGTGAGAATCTCGCACAGATTACTTTGCCCACGCGTCGAAAGATTTCGCGAGATCTGTTTTCAATTCGCGTCGCGTGTTCCCTTCGCTCACAGATACTGTTTTCTTCGTAAGCGATTCGTGTCGCGTGGGTATCAAAGCGATACACTACAACTCGATCGGACCATTCTGAATTCGTCACAAATACTCGTCGTTTATACGAAAGGCTGACATTTCCTCGAAGACACAATTCGTGATATTTCATACGCAATTTGCAACTCGGTGTGTATCCCCCAAGGGAAACCAGATTTTCCGTGAAACCTCTGTTAGACTACCGCGGTCGGGAGTGAATTACAGGCGACGTGGGACGCGAAGACCATTACAGTGTCAGATGCAATGACAGGATGGCTGGTGGACCCTGGACACCGTGGGACGACGCGCAATGGTGAGCGCTCAATTTAGACGCTTATATAGTAGACACAAAGCGTCACTTTACGTAGATTGCATGCACGTAGACGTAAATCACATTGAGTCCGATGAGAAGTAAAGTAAGAATTGGAATTTGTATTTGGCCGGAGTTACATAAGAATGATCCAAACAAAGAATTTAGCTCTAAGATTTTCACAATAGTTCAACGAGTCAAACATTTCCATTTCTTTAACTTAAGAACTGACTAGCTCAATTCTTAGAAAAATATGCAAAAAGACGCGACTGATAAAAAATAAAAAAACTGTTTCTTAATTCATCTCAAGTATCTATAAGATTTACATTTTTCTTGTTTGATTTTAAAAAATGTGAATGGAGTATCCATTGATGAAAGCTTATAATTTTTTTAACTGGATCATTCTTGCATAACAATTGAAATTTCGACTCGGCAGGCTTCCTTCTCGTCGGATTGTTTCTTGATGATACATTAAACTGATATATTTCAACATGTCATATTTATTGTGTGTATATATATATATATATATATATATATATATATATATATATATATATATGTATATATGTATATATATGTTCTATATATGTTATATATGTTTTTCTATACTCTATATACGTTTTTTATATATTCTATATATGCTCTATATATACTATTTGATTAATACAATTTATAACTTGTTATGTCGTATTATATACGACATAACATAATATCTCCTTGGAGATAATTTCTTATGTATACGCATTTGCTGTTGACAAGACAACAAATTAAATTATTAAGCCGAGGCTCGAATCGAAATGTTTCGATTTCCCGCTAAATTATTAAGCCGAGATTCGGATCCGAGTGTTTTGAGATTCCGCTAAATTACAAAGCAAAGATTCGAACCGATGTGTCTTGTGTTTCCGCTAAATTAATAAGCCGAGATTCGAAACAAAGTGTTTTGAGTCTTCGCTAATTAATTAAGCTAAGTTAGTTAAGTCTGGGATAATTTTTTAAAGAGGCTTAAAGAAATTTTCGCATTTCCCTTATAGAAATATCATACTAAGAATCATTGATAATTACTTATTATCCAGTATTTTTAATACTGAAAATAAGTAATTATCAATGATTCTTAGTATGATATTTCTATAAGGGTTGCAAAGATGTATTATTGAAAATGACGTGAAGTATGCGTGTTTCGCTCTGCATTGTGTCTTGGATGACAAAGTGTCTTAATGTCACTCTACACCCTCAGCAATACGCTCAGAATTTTGAAAATAATTTGCCAATATCCCAAAGTCGCACCCGTAATGTTAAATCCATCGTAGCATTCTATTCGGATTCATGTGCAGAAATACCTATCTGCGCATGGAAATTCGATCATGTTATTGCAGGTTAGGTCATATAGTGTTAACATATAAAGCACATTCTATAGTAATTTTTCAGTTTTTTAATATAATTTTCGCAGTTGCGAGATCTCAATTTCGCAAAGAAAGTGCGCATTTCGTCTTGCGCCGTCTCCTTGATGAGTGTGTGTTAGCGTCACTCTACTCCCCCTGTAGCACCACCAGAATCTTCAAAATAATTTGCTAATATCCAGAGTCGCGCCCATAACGTTAAATTCATCGTAGCATCATATTCGGATTCTCGCGCATACGCAGTAGTAGCTATTCTACGCCGAAAGCCAGTCATGTTACTGCAGGTTAGGTCATATAATGTTAGCGTATAGAGCATATTCTAGGATAATTCTTCACGGTTTTTTAAAGTAATTTTTGCGGTTATGAGAGCAATATTTAAGAGATAGCGCGCGTTCCAGGTAGTATATATTTCAGTGGTAAGTACAAACGGGCACGAACCAGGCGCATTTTATCGTTACTACCGCGAAAATACGCCTAACGAACGTAGTAAAAACGCACTTTGTTAGATGGCGTCTCGAAAATGCTCCTAGCTCTTGCCACTAAAATCAAGTTAATAGCCGCCCTCAGGATTCTTTCTGCTTTAATAAATTTCTGTCGATAATGATGTTTTCTAGGTTATCATCCGTATCGTATAGATATTGCCATCAGTTGGCCAAAACTGTCGGTAATGTTGGTAATGTTACTAATCGCGAAAAAATCTCGCCGTATGAAATTGAGATGGCGTTGTATATATGATTCCGCGCATATGGAATGTACTGGCGCAACACTGATTGAAAATGCGTCTCGGTGCGGAAGAAGGACATGTCCGCGGCCAATATGTCTTTTTCTAGTGAAGACAAATCATATTCATAGAAAGAGATAGAGACAATCCGCGGTCATTTGCTATCTCACTCACTCTCTGGACCCTGTTTCATATACGAATAAAGTAAGAGATATAGCGTAGTCCCACAGTAGAGGTGTCCAAAATATATCATAGGGATATCCTAAAAATATATTTGAGATATACGATATTTTCAAGATATCCCTATGATGTATTTGGGACATTCATGCTGTGTGGGGTACTATAGGTCGATGATTTTGCGCGCGCGTGCGTGCGTGCGTGCGTGCGTGCGTGCGTGTGTGTGTGTGTGTGTGTGTGTAGTGTATATATATATATATGTATCTATATATTTTCTGAATCTTTAGATTCTATCAAAAGCCGATAAAAATCAAAAGCTTCAAAGCCGATAAAAATCAATATACAAATAATACAAAACGTTGTTTATTATATTTACTTGTTGTTATATTTACTTTTGTTGTTTTATTATATTTACTTGTTAATATTTGAATCTTAATGTGAAAAAACAAAATTAAGTAATCATTTATAACATCAGACTGTGTAATATCTCAAGATTCTCTATTGCTTTATATTAATGTAGAAGAAAATATTCTATATGTATATTTTCAAAACAGAAGACAGTTTTACAATATTACAAAAAGATAAAAGAATTAGCGTTTTCAACTCTCAACGTGACAAAAATATATGATTGAATATAAAATTACATCTTAATACAAAATAAGAAAAAAATGTCAAAAGTATAATTAATACATAAAACATTAAACATTTTCTTCAACATGTTTGCATGTCATTTTTATAATGATTTATGATATTTACATGAATAGAGGAAGATAATAAATATTATAATAAATTAGATTGCGAGATACGCGTATTTCACATCAATTTCGAGTATTTGAAAATACACTTTGATTGCGAGCGAGAAATTTCAAATTGTAAAGAAATGTAGTTTACTGTTGAACTTGCCAAGCTACCGATTAACATCACTTAGTATGAATTTTCTAGAATTGTTCTCAGAATTAGTTAAATCGACCCTACTATATTTGTCCTACATGGAAACAGTCAGTTTCTTGGAACCGAGCCTACGACTATTGTTGTCTCTATCACCGTCAGCCGGTGTAGAGTAAGCAACCATCGAAACTTTTAAAATAACAAGAAGTGGCGTGAGACTTACTGTGCATTCACGGTCTTTAATAAAACACGAGAAAAATTCTCCCGCTTGTTATATACACACATATAACTGAAAATCTTTTCTCACTTTATCATTATAAGTTCTATACGTGCAATAAAAATTTCATAAAACGACCAGTCGCTGATATCGAGCATTTTACGTCGAATCCTTCTGAGATCGAGCCTTCGAGATTAAATAAGAAATAAGAAAAAAGAAAAAATATATAATATATACAAAGAAACTGAATTTTTCTCTCTCTGATCAATCCCCGGAGAGATTCTCGTCGCCGTTGTTAAGAAATTTCCTTCTTTCTCGCCTTCCACGAATGTGCTTTCTCGTGTGATTACTCGCGCGACATTGCGAAGGCGGAGTCGGAATTATAAAGAAGCACCGCGTTGCGGCGATAAGAAATGCTACCGTCGTCGTCGTCATCGTCGTCGTTGCCGCCGCCGCCGCCGTTTCCGTCGCTGCCGAGGACGTTCGTGCAGGTGTATGTCCGGACACTAGTCGTTCGTTCGTTCGTTCGTTGCAGCGGCAGCCACCTCTGCTGCCACTGCCTGCGAGGGTGGTCTGACGTAACGTCGCGTTACGTCAGAGTATTCTATAGCTCCAGAGGGGTGGCGGCGCGCGTGGGAGCAACGCGGAGGAGTGAAGGGAGGACTCGGCGGCGGGCGAGAGATGTCGCGGTGGAGGGGTGGCACGTCAATAGGAGAATCTTTCGGTCTCCGGGTGGGGTGGCGAACGTGTGGTGGGGCGCCAGCTCGTAAAAGCTCGCGGCCAAGGGATGCGAGAGGGGTATAAAGCTGCCGCGATCCTTTCTCCCCGTCTTCATGCCGCCACCCCCGCGACGTATCCTTTCGGAATACGCGACTTCCGGTTACGGACGATCTCCACGATCGCTGTTGGTTCGTAAGGGTGAGGAGGGGGGAAAGGTTTGTCGTCTAAGTCGGCTGCTAAGTCGCTACAATTGGGATTTGTTTTTCGGGTTACTATTTAGGGGTAGTTCTTCCTTTTTTCTCGCCTTCTCTCCCTTCCACTTCTCTCTCTTTCTCTTTTGTCTTCTGTATATAACGGTTAATTGTTGCAAATATCGAAGTTAATGTCTAAAAGGATCAAATAGGCAGGGCCGCACGTACGCGCGTGCACACACACTTACATACGCACACACGCACGCACGCACATGTAGACGTACAAGAGTCCATGTAATACCAACCAATGTTTTCGCGGGAGCGAGCGTTGGGTCAGCCGCGTCGTTAGTTCTGCTCACCTGAATTATTCCCCTTCGGTATGCAGTTCGCGATCGGATCGTGTAACACGACTAGGTGCTTTCGTTGGATAACGGGACTCATGACGTAAAAATAATCGGCGAATCGAGCCAGTCTGGCGAGCAGTGTCTCGCAGCCGTAGCGTCGTTGTCGTGGATTGGCTGTGCAATTTCGTAGCGCCCTGCAATTTTGCGCGTTATGTGATGTACGTTACCCTGCCGCAACAGTTTCTTGGCATGCATGATTTACTGGCGCGATGCTCGCCACGGGATAGAGACAAGTTCTGTCCATTCACCTATCACCGTGTCAGATACGTCGCTCTAGGCACCGGCATTTAGATACCATAAGTGGTCTGCGGCTACCATTGAGCTCGTGTACCGGCGTGGGGGAGCCGGAGTCACGATGTGACAGCGGTAGTTTGTGCGACGAGAGGAGCGGGAGGAGATGTAATTTCTCGTAGAGGTGGTAGTCAGTGACGTACGACAAATGTGGACGTTATCGTTGATGAAGCAAAAGCAGAGACTGACGACGGTCGCGGCAGTCGCCACAGGTAACGCGAATTCACTCACGAACTTGTATGAACGTCAGTGTGGAAAATACGTGTCTTTATGTTTCGAAAATTGAGTACTCGACTCGATATTGACGAAATAATCGCTCGTTTCCAGTAATAATAGAAGACACATAGGCGATACATTTTTCCATCCACTTAAAATTCACATATTTCGTTTTGAACGGGTGAAAATAATTACATCAACTTTTAATTACATAAATGTTGTATTATGCTAAAACGATCTCCCTCGTTTTTCTTGTAAAGTGATATGGCTCTCGCTCAGAGTACGTTACTGCGGTTTGTTTGGCAGGGTAGGTTCGCCGTAACACCAGGGGTGTCTCAAGTGACAGAGATATCCCTCCAATTTGCTATAATATCGACTAAATCTCTATCATATCAAATGAATTTCGATGAATGTGCATTATTTTTTCGTAAAACGTCTCGTAAGTTCATCAAAATAAACGGTCGCGGGTTGTAGAGAACGTTCAATCATAACCTCCTTTTACGAGGTACTCAAAATTTACTATGATATTTCTCAACACGCAACCCTGCGGCAGTTCCGCCACTGTGATTTGCCGAAAGGAAAATGAGGGGTAGTATGTCAGGAGCGTCTCGATCGTAGGATAGAGTTTAATAGAAAGAGGTAGCTATTATCAGATGCTAGTGGTCTTGTAACGCCGGAATCTCAGTCGAGACGACTCATTTAGCTTGATAATTAATATTATAGCTAATAATATATCAATCATGTTTACTTCTTTTTCATAATTTTCTCATTGACTTCTTTCTCTCTCTTCCCTTTCTCTGTTTCATTATAAAAAGATTTTATCATAAAAGTATTTTTTTATAATTCATGGTATAGAATATAAAATGAGTAGCTTTTAAAACATGACTATCAGTTAATAATAACGCAGGGATATTACCAAAATAACATTCTGATTTTTTGTCTTTCTTATAGTAGAGAGACGCGAAATAATATGATGATTGAAAAACAGTTATGACACAAAAAAGTAGGAAACTTACAGTTTAGTCCTTTTTACCCCTGTCGGAGCCGCCACTGTCCGGCGGGTACCGTGTTAGGGGTAAACTATCTCCAAGTGGGGATGATACCCCGCTCCGGCGGCCGACTGGGCGCAAGAGGGAGGCAGCGCGAGAGGCAGAGAGTGTAACCCCACGGTCGCACCGCCACCCGTGCGTCGTACTAAAATGTGACTCGGGGTAGCATAGCGGGGTAGCCGTGCGTGTAGAGAGATAGCCGTGTGCGTCGGGAGTATATTATTCGTTAGTTTTAGGCAAGTAAATAAAATAGTGAATAAGGTTGCCGGGGGCGTGCAACGGGGTCTCCGCGAGATAAATAAAGAGAGAAAGGGAGATTGAGCGGGAGAGGGAGAGAAGAACACACCATAGCCGCACGAAGGGAGGAAAGTCGACCAACGACGGACGGATATTGCGGGGGCGGCTGGGTGAGATCAGACGCGCTCGATCGCCGACAGTGATCGCGTGGGTACGCGAAGGCGAACGCGATCCCGCAGTTCCAGGGATCGCCGTTGCGAACGAATACATATCATTTTATCCTAGTTGCAGAGAGAAGTAGAGAGGGAGAGAGAAAGAGAGAAAGGGAGAGGGAGAGAGAGAGAGAGAGAGAGAGGGAGAAAGAGAGAGAGAGAAAGAGAGAGAGAAAGAGTGGGAGCGAGAGGGCGGAGGATAGATTCGAAGGGTAATCGAGAGAGAGAGAAAGAGAGAGTAAGAGCATTAAGAAGAAGAGCGAGTGTGTTTAACGAAAGTTCATGGAAGGAGGAGAAGACGGAGGGAGAGCAACGTGAATCTGGTTGAGAGGGAGAGAAAGAGAGAGATGCATATATACAAAGATATATATATATATATAAATATAGATAGAGAGATGTATATATGTATACACATGCGCAACGCGGAACGTGTGAGTGTACAGTTGGCTTGAGGATCATCATCGTCATCGTTGCCGTTGTCGTCGTCTCGTTATTGTCGCCGTCGTCGCCGTGAACGCACCTTCTTTTGGCCCCGGCAGAAAGAACAGTGAGGATTGTTTGAGGGAAACCCGGAAGTGACTCCGACGGGTATCTCCGACGAAAGGAGGAATCCCTCGTGAATGATCGCTCGCAGCTACGTGTCGCCCGTCGTGCATATCTTTTCTCGTGAACTGTGATTCCTTGTGCCGTTCGGAGAGGTGGGACAGTGATCTGCGACGACGGGATAGATACAGGCAGGGTAAGTGTCGAACTTGCGCGACATCCGATTGCACATTTTCATTTGCGACGCGCGGTCAAAGGTTAATGAGCAGTTGGGCCGGTTAAATCAAAGCCTACCGACGGCACCGGAAACCATGCTAATGAATCTCCCATAAACTTGGCCGTGCATCCTGTAAGCTTACATCCTCCGACGTGTTTCTCATGTTAAAACTTTCAAGCTCTCGAACGCACTTAGAACGCGTCTCAACGGAGTTCGTACGAGATGTGTGTGTATGTGTGTGTGTGTGTGTAAATTATACTTGCATATCTCTCTCTTCTAGTCTGTGAATAATTATTACCTGCTCCTCCTGTGAGATCTGAAATTATATTGCAAGAAATTAATTTTTAATTTTATGTCGTATTTCTCATCAAGCTTACGTTCTAAAACGTCTTTTTTAAGGAAAATTTGATTGAAAGTCTATATAATTTATGTTACATATACTGCGAATTTTCAGTACAATTGTACTAGTAAAGGACATTTTTAAATACAGTCAAAATTATATTGCAAAGGGTTGAAATCCTCCATTTTTTCCATTTTTTCTACTTCACGTAGTTTCATATTACATTCTTCGATTTCGTATTTTATTTGTATCTCAAACTTGTTTGTAGATAATTCTCAAATACTGATTTGTGTTATACATAATTATATATAATTATACATAATTATACATAATTATGTTATTCTATTCAACTGCATTATACTATTTTATTATGTTTTTATTATGTTACTATACTATACTATATGTTACCGTATTACTCGATAATCGCACAACGGATATTTCTTGTACATATTTATTATTAGTGCATATTTTATGATTCAACACCCAGAGTGCGAATCATATTCAAGTGTCTACAATTTCATTTTTTTACGCGCAAGTTATGCCGTGTGAGATAAAATTTCGAGGTGCTCGTCCGCAAAAGCGATGAGTTTAATCGGTTTCGTGAGTGTAGGACTTGATTCGATGGAAAAGTAACGCAGGAAGGAACAGGGGAAAGTACAACACAGCACATACTTCCGTGGACGATCGATCAAACAAATTCGCGGCAAAGCCGAAGAAATCGCATTATCAGAACTCGCGTTGTCCGCAATGGTGATCGCCGACGCAGTAAAAATGCGGGCGAATATACTCCGAATAATATGCATGCGATAAATATACATTTTGCGATATTTTGTCTGCAGGATTACACGGCCGATTTTCGGAGAAAATGAACCGACTTTAATGTTGAAGAGCACGCAAAAACTAAATACACCGCGGGAACTAAATTGCTCGTATATACGAGATGTTGCAGATAGATTCTCTTTCTCTTCTTCTTCGTTTTGTTTCTTCTACCCTTTTTTTACAGTACATAGCAGTTTAGTTTTTTCTTCTCAACTAAGACGTCGAGATACTCATGGAGTTGCCGAGTTACAAGCGATTGAAAATAAAGGGCTCTTTGCGAGCCAAACTCCCGGGCGATGCAGTTAAATAACAAGACTCGCGTTCATTTAAATTCACAAACGGACTTCACTTTCCCGGAGTATTAAGTCTCAGCTGTAATTAGCGGGACGCTTGTATATAACGCGCAACTCAACGGATGTCGAGAGCTCGTGATAAACGAGCCGAGACACTTCGAAATGATCTCCGGACGAAAATCGTAGTCCGTCGCGAGAACCGTAAAAAAAGCCGCGAAGAGGTATGGATACGCGTTTCCCATTTCTCCTTGCGACAATTTATCGTCGTGCGAGGAGTATATCGGCAGAACGTAGACGCCCATGTGAAGTATGCTTTCTCGTCTTTCTTATTCCAGTATCGGAAGAACTATTATCCCGTCGATTTGAGGCCCACGCATTACGCGAGGGTGTCGAGATTTCCGTGTACGGGATTTCCGTATATTGAAAATGCCGATTGTACGTCGTGCACGAGGCTTCCTCTCCCTCCTTATCGTGTTCATCGCGAAATTCCATACACGTCGGGCGCAGCCCCGTTTTCGTTCCCGCGATCGCGTCTCAGCGATGAATCACTTCTGTTCCACCGCAAGCCACGGAAAGTCTCGTCGATATTAATAATCGCATAATTAAAAAAGCCTGCATAAAAATGCCTCAAGACTTTTCCAGATGTAGCATAGAATCAGATTAGAGTGATCAGATTTGTACCAAAATTGGTTGTCCCACTAGGATACCAGTTCTTATTAGAATACCATTCTTATCCCAACATAGATTTTCTTTTTAGAATTGAGACAAATAAACTATGAAAATTCTTATTTTTTGTTTTAGTCGGTAATGTCAATATATTTTTATGATATCAAACAAGAAATCATATTTTTACGTCAATTAAATTTAACAGAATAAAAAATAAAAAAATATTTTAGAATATTTTGACTACAGAGAATATTTTGAGAAATATACTAAGTAATTCATTTATTTAGAAAGTTGACATGTAACGGGGGGCCGCAAAATGAAGATCAGAAAAAATATTGAGAAAACTTTGGGTTTTCCATTTAAGCTCGTATTAATAATCGTGAAAAAATTTTGAAATTCAAAATGGCGGATCCAATATGATAGACTGAAATAATAAAAGTGACTCGACTCGGATCGAAGTCAATACCCGGGGTTTTTGGGGTTGCTATTTACAAATTTAAACTCAAAATTATGAAATTCAAAATGGCCAACGTGATGGAATAAATTGATACATTTTAACGGATAAACATTTTAATATAAAAGTTAGTATTTATAAAAGTGTAAAATTTTACATTTTACATTTTACATTTTGGAAAATTTATAACTCGGTGAAAAAAATCGCACAGTACAAAATAACAATTCATTTTAAAAGTAGGGAATAGCATTTTAAAGTGGCAATAAAATTGATAAATAAAATTTTGTTTGGCCACCAAAAATTAGTAAATGTAAAAAATGCAGTTTTTTCCAATATTATTCGATTTATCTCAAAAACCTGACGTAATGAGTATTTTTTGCTAGCAGATTTGGGTTCAGCGACCTCAAATTTACTAAAAAATAGTGACTGCGATCGCCGCAGAAAAGAAATTAAATTTTGTCGGAATTTTGTTGTAATCGACATACTTTTATAATATCGGTATTCAACAAAGAATCCTATTTTTATACCAATTATTGCATTCAATAGAGAACAAAAAGCAAAAAAGTTTCTCAAAAAAGTTTTGTGTATTTTTCTTAACAGTAAAATTATTTAGAAAATTAGCATATATTTTGTCCAATTCTAATATAAAGTGAGGACCAGGAAAAGTATTGGAGGAATTTTGGGTTTCGTACTTTGAAATATATGTTCAAAACATAAAATTTTTAATCAGAAGTCATTCTTCTTTTTGAGGAATCGGACTAGACCCCATTTAAAGCTCAAGAAATACAGGACTGTGTCGTGGCGACGAACGATTGAATTCGCCGTTTTTATCATACGTTTTTACCGTGAACGAACGCTTTCGACTGCGGCCCCGTCGATAAATTCGAATATCCGCAAAACGCATATTAAATATTCTCCTTCGCGAATGCAATCCGCACGCGCGCGCGCTTACTCGCTCGTTCGTGCGTCATCGACATGTGTACGCGCGCTGTGTGCGGTATCGCGTTGGATTTTAGCCGAATTCTAAATATGGGAATAAATTATTCATCGTCCGCAACAGCGCCTGGATATTTGTAACACTGTGCGGTTCTAAATATGGAAATACGCGCATTAAGCGCGCAACATGCAGAATTACTCCGCGCCATGGCGCCTCTCTATCACACTCCAGCCCGTCGATTTCAATTTCAAGTCACAGACAAATTGTCCCCGCGCATTTAGCGCAATCGCGCGAGTCAGAGACAGCTTGGCATGTTATCTCCCCGATTCTTTAACCAGCAATCTCGTTCGGCTCGCGTATCAATCGAGAGGAAATTGAACATATTTCCTGTCTTTAGGATGGAAACGCGGATGAATCAATTAGTACAACGCTAGTATGGAATTTTTCGATGTAATCGAGGAAAGGCTCTTTGATCTTTATATCTCTCGAGTTAATATCGTTTCGGCCGGGCCAGCGAAATACAGAACGGTCGTATCGAGACGCCACAAGCATATACAGAAAAATACATACTCCATTTAAATAAATGTTACTTGTTTTAAGTATTTAATAAATTCATATATCCGCAAATCTATCATCAGTTCATCATTAGAATTAAATTTGTTCAAAGAATATTCTGAATCTTAGTAGGTTTAGCATTTGAATCAAGAATATTAAAAATTTTGTTTGCTTACTTGCATAGAGTCGAACTGTTTTCTTGATAAAATTTTTTGATATACTTGTAAAAAGAATAGATTCTTCTTTTGAATACATGATAATAAGCCTTTTTGAAATTTATCATTAATATTTTAGGACGATTATTAAGAAAAAATTCTTTGTAGAAGAGAACTGTTATTTAAAAAACAATTGATATTTAAAAGAAGAAAATTAAATTGAATAATTACTTTTTTTTACCAGTAAAATGATATTTTTTTTGTACATCGCAGGATTTATTAAGAGCATGTAACCTATACTAAAAAAAATTAGTAAATATGTGAAACTCAGTGAATGAGGTTCGTTCCGATAGCCTCTGCAAACTTTTAATGCATTAAACCATCATTAGAGAAATGCTTGTACGTAACGCTTGAAATCAGCTGCGCCATTATGATGAAAAATTATTCATTGTATCTCACGAATTGCTGCGAAAAACTAATCTCTCCTCGCCTCGTCGACGAGCAAGTCACCCTCTTCATCTCGTTTATTTAATCGCACTGACAATATTTCCTCATCTTGTCAGTAAACAAGAAAAAAGAGCTAGATGTCAGCGCGGAAATCGAATATTCAAGTCTCGCTGAATTAATATGTACACGCATATATACGGATACAATATTGTAGTAAAAATTACGTTAAAATACTTCATTATACTTCAATTATACTTTAATTATACTTTATTTTTCGAAAAACTGGACTATATTGATATTATAGTATAAGTTA